ATAGAAATTAAATGTTCTCTGTCGGCTAAGCATTTATTTGCGGAAGAAGCTATAGAGACATTACCTAAATTGAAAAATATTTATGATAAGAAAGATCATGATAAAATGAATAGAAATCACCAATTTTTAAATCAAATTCAAGATTAACTAAATATAACGCAGTGAGAATATTGCATATTTGCTTTATGGACGCCAAAAAGCATGAAAATAGTGCGTGTTATTTGTGATAAAACTTTTTGGAAAAGTCAGATGTTGCCTTATTTAATTATTATTTTATTATGATTGTATGCTTTCTGAAATTAGATAGCCGTTTTACAATAGACATATGCCCATCAGAAATCCAAAATATATTATAGAAGCTAAAGAAAAAGCGTCTAAAAAAAAAACAAGTCGAGAAATTAGTCAATATGACAACATAAAAACAACGTAGAAAATAATAATAGGTATAGAAGACGAAGAAATCACTTTCTCTCAAGAAAGTAAAAAAAAATGAAAAAATGAAATATTTTATCCACAAAAGTAATTGAAAATACTATTTCCCAGCAAACACAGAATATAACTATTATACAGGGTGTTCGGAAAGTACCGGGACGCCCGAATATCAGGAAAAATATAAGTTTTACAAAAAAATGTTTCAGACAAAAGTTGTGGCGTTTAAAAAGATGTATTTACTGATCACATCAGTTTGACCTTGGGTTGCGTAGCGAAGGTCAGGTCAAGGTCACATTAATTTTTTTAAATGGAACACCCCATTTTTCATTGCATATTCTTATAGCACATCTCGAGAGCTTTCCAAAACGCTATAATAAAATATTTTTTCATGAAGTACTTTTCAAGTTATAATGCTTCAAAGTTAGAGGATCGCCGGCATTAGCATTTTTACGAAGAAATGAAAATAAACGGAACAACCTCCAATGATCTTGATCTTGAGAATTAGATCAAAAGGGCTATCTTTTGACATAAGGGATACCAACCCCCTCCCACGCCTCTCATGTTTGGAGTGCTTGATTCGTATATCATTTTTTAATAATACATTGTGCGACAAGTGCGAGAAGTTCGCTGTTGCCGATTTGTACGGGTGATCGCACGAGCACCCCAAACGTGAGAGGCGAGGGGACTCACGATAATCAAGCACCCCAAACATGAGAGGCGTGGGAGGGGGTTGGTATCCCTTATGTCAAAAGATAGCCCTTTTGATCTAATTCTCAAGATCAAGATCATTGGAGGTTGTTCCGTTTATTTTCATTTCTTCGTAAAAATGCTAATGCCGGCGATCCTCTAACTTTGAAGCATTATAACTTGAAAAGTACTTCATGAAAAAATATTTTATTATAGCGTTTTGGAAAGCTCTCGAGATGTGCTATAAGAATATGCAATGAAAAATGGGGTGTTCCATTTAAAAAAATTAATGTGACCTTGACCTGACCTTCGCTACGCAACCCAAGGTCAAACTGATGTGATCAGTAAATACATCTTTTTAAACGCCACAACTTTTGTCTGAAACATTTTTTTGTAAAACTTATATTTTTCCTGATATTCGGGCGTCCCGGTACTTTCCGAACACCCTGTATAACATAGAAGTAACACGTAATATAACGGACGTTATATGTTATTAATATTAAAATTACATAATATTAAAATTACGTAAATGTTATATATTATATAACATAGAAGTAACACGTAATATAACGGATGTTATATGTTATTAATATTAAAATTACATAATTTTCTTTTATAACTGCAATTTAACTGTGTTTTTAGAACTGTTATAATTCTCTGTTATTTACAGGTTATAATTATATAACAGCAACATAATTAAAATATAATATATTATATAACAAGCATTTATTTGCATTACATCTATGTTATATAGCATTCTTATATTTAAGGATCGGACCATTCACTAGATGGCTTCCGTTTTCTTGTGTCTTTCTCGTACGTAAAATATGATGCATTAATATATAAGGTGTCCCATGTAAGATGTACGAAAAGAAAAATATAAGTAGAACACATAAAAGTGAACAAAAATTGTATAGGTTATTTTTCAAACAATCACGTAAAATTTCGAGATATTAATTAAAATAGTTGGGCATATCAGAGTGCGGCGACGCGGCAGGCGGGACATACGGCTCGCCACGGCCGGCAAAAAAAACGGAAGAACGCATACATACACGGACACATACACGGAGATATTCATTTCAGTATGCCAATGATCCACCTCTTTGGTCTATAAGATAGGCCCGCGAACAATCGCCCATTTTCTTCGCCGGCCGCGGCAAGCCGTATGTCCCGCCTGCCGTGTCGTTGCGCTCTGATATGCCCAACTATTTTAATTAATATCTCGAAATTTTACGTGGTTGTTTGAAAAATGGCTTTTTTGTTATACCATTTTGTTCACTTTTATCTGTTCTACTTATATTTTTCTTCTCGTACGTCTTACGCGGGACACCCTGTATATAAGAACGATGATCACAAGACCGCACAACTTGTACTATGGAGTTCACTTTTATAGTAAAAAGAAGTGATACATTTTTTGATAATAGAAATTACTGTTACAATAGTAATCCTTTCCATTTGAATATGTACAGAAAGATGAAAATGAATAAATGAAAATAATTCTAATAGCATAAAATGTCTAAGAACATACTAGGACATTAGACGCCTAAAATCGCTCTAGGATGACTCTGGAATATCTTGTGTTATTTGGGAGCTGATAAATTCAGAATAGCAAGATACTTTTATGTTATTATCTTTAGTAAAAATATTTTTGATACAAAATATATAATATAATATAATTATAATATAATTATAATATATATATAATTATAATATTTTTACAAATTAAGTAATATATGAGTGATAGCTTATAATCTTTGCGTACAATTAAATACCTATAATTGCTGAGAAATAATAATTTATATTCCAGCTATATAACATTTTAGCAACATGTTATATTTCTGTTATATAGTTGCAATATCGTTTGAGTGGGAAATTACAACTAACGTATATGTTACACGTAACAAACATGTTATATTGCACGTTACATTCGTTTATATTATGACGATGTAACTGTTATATCATTTGCTGGGTTTAGATACAAAAGAAAATGATTATCTTTATCGACTATAATAAACAAGATATAACTAGAGAAGTGATATTAAGACACAACAAAATTTTAGACGATATAATTGATTTCCTTTCATTGGTGAAAGAAAATGTTTTGTCTCCATATAGCAAATTGAACGATATATCATTGGATCGATTTTTACGAATTAGAAGAGACACTCCTTGTTTTGAAATGCAAAGTATGTTATATTTAGAATACTTTCACTGTGACACAGCCAGTTGTAGTAATAAAAGTTTACAAATAATAGGAGGAAATTATACTGATCACTGGCGGTGCATTTTCTTCAATGGTAGCAAACTTCACGTATATGATAGTTTACCCGGAGGTACATATCACAAACTGGCAACTAAAGAAAAATATATTCACTTATTGTTCCGGACGGAACGGGTATGTCTGTGCGGAGCGTGTACAGCCAGCGGCCGGGCCCCAGGCGCTGCTCGACTCGCAGTCGCCGGTCTTCCGCCGCCAGTTCGCACCGCCACCGTGACGCGGCGACGGCGTCAGCCGGAATCGTTGCTCGCGGTTAAAATTTGGTTAGGCGCCTATATAAGGCGCCGCGTGAGGTTACTCAAAGCCTTTTGACTGCGGTTGCACATCAGGTCACTGCCTTGTTGAGGTATTCTTTTGAACTCTACCTAGCTCGATCTTACCTTTAGGGTGTATCTGCACGTAAGTCCTTGCCCAGGGGGTACAAACTCCTCGTATTTTAGAGGTGACGGAAGTCATTAGTTCGCTTATTCTTTCGGTACGTAGGCCGAGGGCAGCACAGTCGGCCCGGCCCCCACTACCACTCGTCAGATGTCATATTGGACATATACTGTTTCTTATAGTTTGTTGTTCACCAGTTTTCTGGAGAAAATCAAGCGATTTTGGAAGCAATAATTTTTATTTTTATTTTGCGACAGGAGTGTTTTTTTACAGGAAGAGCCGAGCAAGGAGAGAGAGAACGTGTGGAGATATTACGTGTTGGAATATTTCTATTTCTGTAAGTAAATATTTGTATGTAAATTTATAAATTAATTTAGATATTTTCACAATGTTGTTTGTTGATCTTTAATAAGGTCTCAGATTTGTTAAACACATTGGAGAGACATGTATTAAAAGTAAGACGTCTCTCTTTTATACTCTGTTAAACGTATTTTTGAGAAGTTTGTGTTGTCTGGATCTTTCCACTCATACATTTCTTTATTCCCTCCAAATTTATCTTGATTTATGTCTCCTTTATTTTTATCAAAATATTCATTCTATTTATTTTCTGAATAATTTATCATATATGATTCTTTGCCTACATGTATTCATACCATATTGATTGTTTCAACATTATATCATCTATTATTATTGCCTTTATTTCCATATGTTATAAAATTGTAAGTTTTTATTTTCTCCATTGTTGAAATTCTTATTATGAATTGTATCACATCAATATTTATCGTTGCAATTTTTCTGTACTTTATTGTATCTGTACAGTGAGTCTTTATTTTTCAGATCTATTTTGTAATATACTCTTAAAGGCATTGCTTCATATATTTTGAACACATATATTATTTAATATTTGTACTCTTTGCATGCAGTTATTTCCTTCTTTTCATAAAATGTTAAGTTTTCATATTTGCAATATTTACTGTTAGTTTCATTTCCTTATTGTACATTTCATTTCATTCTTATTCATTATGTGTAATGTTCTCATCGTATGTAAGTTGAAATCAATACAGTTGTAATTACATTTCTATCTCATGAGACATTTCTTTATCTACATGTTTGTAAACCTTTGACATAGTGCAATATAAATTTAAATTGACATGTACATGCTTATACATTTGAAATTGTTAGGAATGCACAATATTCTTGGCGTTATCTGTTTATCACAAGAAAATTACATGATATTAATAATTGTTAACTTTTTATTTCCTTTTACCGTTTTATTAATTGTTATTTACCTTTTTCTTTGTTTATGTTATCTGTTAAACATTTTATTAAGTATATCAATAACAAGAAGTATACTTTGCAGTTAGGTTACATCAAGATGGTTTGGAAGTGCTGCGTACCTGAGTGCAAGTCTTCGTGGGAAATGCCAGTCCATCGTTTTCCTGTGGATCCTGCCAGGATAGAACGTTGGCTGATAGCCATACATAAAACTGATTTGATTGGTAAGTGCAAAACATGCAGGTGCACTTTAGGTGCTTTTTCATGTGTCAACAAATAACTAATTGTAGCATTATATCAATTGACAAGTGCAGTTAATTCTTTTCTTCCTTTATAATTATGGAAGTTTTCCTACAATAATACTAAATATAAGCTGTTATATTACAGGTGCACCTAAGGAAACATTGGCGAAATTAAGAATTTGTACGGAACATTTTTCTGAAGATATGGTACTGCCTTATGGGCGTAGCCGACGCTTAACCGATAATGCAGTACCAAATTTAAATTTGCCTTTAGACATTGTTGAGCATGTTAATGATAATGTAGTTGTAAACGTAAATTTTGATGAGCATGTGAATTTAGTGGAAAATGTTCCGGACAATTCTGATTTTGTGCCACTGCCCATTGTCATGGGTGAAGAGGACATTCGACCGGAAAGAAGAGATCATCGCATGCTGAGAAGAAAATTGAGGACACAACAGAAGATGCTACATAAGAAGAAACGGATTATTTACAACCAACGTCAAGAAATCAACAGACTGCGACGTGGGAACAAATGGGAAGATGCGACGAAGGATATGTCAACCATCCAGAAGATTTTCCTCGAAATGTTGACTACAAATTTGAAATGTGCTCCACAGGTATGTTTTCCATTATTATAATATTATCAGTGTCACGTCCAAGAAGCTATTTTGCTTATGGACATGTCAATTTATATATTAAAATATAACATGTAATATTAATATTATTTAAGAATTCGAAGGTAATTGACATAATTTTTATCTTAATATCGAACATAAGTAACAGGCAAATTATTATTTATAGTATGGGTTTTAATATGAACGTATGTTTGTAACGAAGATAGACACTGAACTCATTTTCAAGTCCATCTCAAAAAGCTACAATAAATAAAGTTTTTTCACGATTACAACGTTGGAAGTAAACTTTTACAAACACATTTTTTCTATTACTTTTTCCTTCCATTACTTTTTTCTTAGAAACTAATTATACCTGCATATTTTAATTAAATATAATGAACTCCATATTGTTAACAGAATGTTTCAGTACAATAAACGTCACGATTTTTCAAATACTTTGCAAAATAACTGAATAACGTCAAATAACGTTTTAATCGTATCTTATTGACGTTACAGACATTGTAAAGACATTTGTCACCCTGCTGCCTGGGTTGTATTAATCCTTTCTGATTAGTAGCAATGTACA